CCCCTATTGATCACTTTATCTGTTCAATATTAGAAAGTATTAAACATCCAGCATTAGAGAGGTCCCAGCATAAAATGCATGGTTTCACCAGCATCGCCTGAAGAACAACGCAGAGATAATTATATTCTCCTGCTCATTAATTCCATGTGCTCCTCTTCCCTGATTTCAGTCTGAAGTCACATCCAAACACTGCGAGCTCCTTCTGCACTAAAATCCAGCACGTGGCACACAGCTTAACGGTGCGAGGAAAACTGGAACAGATGACTGTGAAATTACATTTTTACCACAGCAGAGTGTAAAAATCACAAAACAATGGTCTGAGTGAATGCATGAGTAAAAGTAATATCTGACTTCATGGGAGGAATGAGAGCGGATCACGTCCTACAAACTGGTCCAGTTTGCCTCGAAAGGGTTCAGCTATGATCTCGCCTCACACAGATCCAGCTGCCAAATGATGTGAGCAGCATTAAAGAAGCTTTACTTTACATTCAGTCGGCACCGTCTCTATTACAATCGAGAAGGTTAGACCTCACTCTTGGAGCCGTCGAAGGCTGATGTATGGCTTGCTAACGGGGGGACTTTGGATCTTTTCATTGACCTTTCAGTTTCTTGGAACACGCGAGCCTGGCTGGCTGTTCTTTAAAGATCTGAAAACCACCCGTGAGATTATTGATTGACAGTGTATTGTCGATGAGATCCAACGGGCTCGGAGACAGAGACGGGTTTTCCACTCTGATAAATCTTGATCGTATTCCTGGTGATTTACGTGATTTTGTTGGAAGCAGCCGGGGATGTGTCACTCGGCCTTACAGAGCGAACTGAAAGTGGTGCCCACTGTGAGGCTCAGACGCACAGAAAGCGTGACATGCAGAATCAGCTTCTTGTACCTTGAATAAAACATGAATCATTAGCTTTATTAATGTCGATGAACAACAGTAGGCAGAGGATTCCTGCTGATGTCTGAGTGATAGGTGGCAGTTTCACAACTGTGCATGTAACAGAGAGGAGACGGAAGCAGCAGATTTTATGTGGCGACATCATCAGAGTACAGAAAAGACCCATAACTAGACGCAAAGCTTTAAAATCCTGCTTCTTTAAACTACAGAACACTAAAATCAAACCCAAAATGTGAAAATCCTTTACATTTGAGGCACCTTGTTCCTTCAAAGACCCAGCTTCATTTTCTCTGCATCTCATCTCCATCAAATGTGAAGCAGCAGCTTCTCTGAGCACACGGACGGGTCGACCCGCAGCCAGATGGACGGGTCGCTCAGGGCGTGATGAGTGACCATCTCACCTCAGACAGCAAGGCCCCTCTCTCTGCCAGCAGAAGTCCAGTTCACCGCAGGGCACTTTACATATCTCAGCGTGCCTGTCTGCACAGATCTCCTCACGACTGCCTCGATCCTGAATCCCCCCCTCCTTGTGTGACCGCCTGATAGTGCGTTTGTTGCTATTCTTGTGCGCCTCTGTGTTGCACAGCATGCACATATCAGACTTCAGTATTTATGTGCCTTTTGCTCGCAGTCACAGCAGTGCACCGAAGCAGATTAAGCCTCTAATAAAACTCCTGGTGACATGAGCTATTACTCTACACATGGACCCCAGTGGAATCCCCTAAAGAGCAGCCCTTCTACAGCTGCAGGTAATAGTCAATTTCACCTTGTTCTTTTTTCTTGCCATTACTGGAGACTGAAATGCGGCAGCATCCAGAAACAATTTTAGCTTGTTTCGTTTCCGGATTGTGGGCGGCGGGTCCATGAAGGAATGTCTGTTTTCCCCTTGCTGTGCTTTCCAAAGATAATCAATACGGAGCTAGAGGCAGCGAGCCGCTGGTGCAGAGGAGACTAAGAAGGTTTGAGGTAATCACAAAAATAAAACACAAGTCAGCAGTCTTACTGAACTGAATAAAAGCTGCCCAAGTCCCCCCTCATGGATTATGTTCTGATATCATAGTTAAAACAACACAAGCACAGGGGGGTGCATCTGTTGACCTTTAACCTTTGTGTAGGTGCCATTTTTCACATTTACTAAGATTATTTCTATGTTTAATTAGATACAACTTTTGTCTTATTGTTAAAAAAGCGCTTCATGCTCCACATACAGAATAATTAAAGAAGCGTTTGTCAGAATGCTAGTTTGTGCATGTGCACGTGCAGGAATCATCGTCTTCACATCTTTCAGACTTTGAAGAGGAGGTCACGCATGTTTTGGAAAACGCTCCGGCGCTGCCATGTCTGCACAGTTTGTTCTCCATGATGGAAAATTCTTCCATAAATGTGCATTAATTCAACAGAGAGCAGAAGTTTAATGACTGTTAACATCAGTTAAACAGACCTGGTGCAAACAGAACCACCGCTGATCGTCTGCATCTTAAACCCTGTTGGTAAACACATTTTTAAGGAATTTTAATCATCTAACAGAAGCTTGAAAACAACTCGTTAGTTTTTTTTTCTTCTTACAAGCAACCAAAAATATCTCAGCTGCAGCAGCAACAAGAGAAGATGTCCAAGCAGTTCATCTGGCATCAGTCTCACATGCAAATTCCACCATCTCCTCCTTCATCAGCCCCAAAAACAGGCAAACACATTTCTGCATGTTTTCTAGAAGTGAAGAGTAAAAGCCTCAGATCAGGACTTACAGATGTCAGAGGATGCAGCTCCAGTGGAACAGAGCTGGATATGGAGAGAAAGAGCGTCTTCAGAGAGAAGTCCCTCCACAAGACGACTCCCAGATTCTGCGCTCCTGTTGTGTCGGTTTGGACAAAATTCTTGTTATAACTTTTCTCTTTCTGTTTTTATCCATGGAAATAAAAGGCACAGAAAATGCTACGCGTGCTGCTTTGGCCAGGTGTCCGGTCTCGCTTGTTGAAAAGATAGAAATAAAAGAAGAGAGGGAGCTGATGTTCGTGAGGAGAGCTGTTCAGAGCGCACACTTCATCCAAGCGCGTCCAGCAGCCTCTCGCTTTTACGCGGACTGTCGTGCGCTGGAGGAGCTCCTCCTCACCTCACCTCCGTCTGTGAGCTTCTGCTGAGCACACACACACAGACACACACACACACACACACACCCACACACTCGGAGGAGAAGCGTGTGCGCAGATGAGACACTCCTCTGAACAGCAGCACTGTTAAAGCAAACAGAACCGACATGGACTGCGCTGGGTCTGAGCTGGGTGACTGAACCTACACGTGTCTTTTCTCTTGACTTTATTGTCACACAATCTATGATAATATTAAATAATAAATTCATAAAATGATAATTAATCTCTGATAAGGAATTTCAAGACAACAGTGACCTATTTGTACAGGTCACCACAAAGATTCTGTTCGGTTAAGAAGACAGGTGAAATGATCTCACAAGCAGTTTTTCGTTTTAAGGACATTTTTAAAGGCACTGCTTTTAGAGCAGTGGTTCCCAAAGGTGGGGTGGGGAGCCCACTGTGGGTCGTGTGGCACCAAGTAGAGTTCCTTAAACAAAGTTCAAATATCTATCTATCTATCTATCTATCTATCTATCTATCTATCTATCTATCTATCTATCTATCTATCTATCTATCTATCTATCTATCTATCTATCTATCTATCTATCTATCTATCTACATATATATACACGTTGTATATATATATCTATCTATATATATAGAGAGAGATAGATATATATACATATATATAATGGGTTAGGGTTAGGATGTATGTGTAACTTGTGCCAAAATGAAATATATACCTTTTTGCTTCAATTTAATTTTAGAATAAAAAAAAATCTGTTGGAGCTGCAACTGAGCTGAAGAAGCCTCCCACTGAGGGCATCCTGTTAGTTCATCATTTTCTTTAAATGTTCACAGATCGATCACAGTCGATCCTTTTATTGAGCACACTGAGCCCGGTCTTCTTTATGTTTTCAGCTTTTCACATAATTATTCCCACATACATTAACAGGTATTTTGTTCCTCTAACTAAGCCTATTTGCACCACTTTTTGTCCTTTTCCATTTTTTGTGATTTAATTCTGCAGTCTTATTTGGGTTGCTTATGTTTATAACTAAACAAATTGTAAATTCCTGTCAAAAATTAGAAATTTTGTATGATGTGCTATTAAATTTGTATTTCAGTTGTCAATTTGTCTTTTATAATTTATATATAATTCATTCAAATTTTTCTTAATTTTTTTCTTTGCATACAAACACATAGTTGACTCTGTGGTATGTCCAAACCCAAATGGGATCAAAGTTACTCTGTTACTTATATGTTACCACTAACATGAAAATCAATATTATTTAACTATAGTACAAAAGAATGGTTTCAGTAGCTTATGTCAAATTTTATGCAAATATGTGACTCATCAACACCAATTGTGGATTAAGTTGCAATATTATATGTTGGGATTTAGACAGGTTCAGATTGGCTGAAAAAACTGTGAAAATTGCATTTTGTCTAAATATGATATTGTAACGATTCGTGGAACCCAGATTGGTACGGAACCAGAACAAAGCAAACTCAGATGTTAGAAAGGGTAACAGTGTTTATTATATACAGTGTAAGGAATGTACACTGGTTCTCTGGAGCGCCTAGGGAAGAAAACAGGGTCAGTAGGTCCAGTTTATGTTAGGCCTGTGCCGTTTGAGTGTACTCACCCTGCAATTGCTGAGTGCTGGTGACAGAGTTCCTGAGCAACCACCTGCCTTCAATCCGGTTAATGAGTCCAGCTGCTACTTAAGCCTTGGAGGAGGTTCCAGTCTTCGCTGAATCATTCAGTCACCTTGGGTACTGTGAGACAGCCATTTTAGTATTTTCTCTTGTGAACCTGTGTTTGATCAACCTGTGTCTCCCTGTGATTTCAAGGCAAAACCAGGACTCACCTCCAAGAACCAAGACTTGACGAATCGTCTCCAAAATGGACTCATTCCCTGTGGAACTCTATCTTCCAGCCGGACACTCTTCCATCAGCCGCCACCTGCAAGATACTAACAAAGATACTTGGAAAATACAAGGATTCACTCACCCGACAGACACTTCGCCTTCCTCCCTGTCTGCCTTCGAAGATCCACCTGTAAGAGAAAGATTCAATTATCCAAAACAGCTACATATTCTCCTACCCATCTTTAATCTGTCTTCCCCTTTATTCCCCCCTTCCAGGAACTCAGACTTCCTTTACCCCAGTACTGTAAATAAACTCACTGAACTTTTATTCCGTGTCTGTAATCCTTCTCAGCCCTGGTCTGAATTTGAGTACAATTTCTGTGATAATTCATAACAGTTTAAAGCGATGATTTGTTGAAGGTGATTCTTTTTTTTTTGTCTTACAGGTGGAGACGCCGTGCAACGTCGTAGAGTTGGATCCACGAGGTGCTCCAGAGGGAAGGAACAGGATGAACGGGCAAAGTAGGTCTGGCGGGCGGATGATGGACAAGGTAGGTCCGACAGGCGAAGGGCAACAACGTTAGATCTGGCATGCAGAATGTAACTCGACAGGTCTGGCAGACAAAGGGCAGGCAAGGCAGGTCTGGCAGGTGGATGACAGACAAGGCAACTGGAAAAGGGATTCATGCAGGCAGGACATTGCGAGCATAAAGAACAAGGTAAGTCTAATTTCTTAAGGGGTTCTCAGAGACTGGCTTGACTTGAGACACATGGAACGTGGGATGTATATTCATGGAGGTAGGTAACTGAAGGCGAAATGCAGACAGGTTGATGATTATACTGACGGTGAAGGGACTGATGTACTGTATCAGGGCTCCAGCTTCCTAGGGGTGTCCTCGATGTTAATGTCCCTAGTAGAGAGCCACACCTTTTGACCCACCTGGTATGACGGAGCTGAGGAGCGGTCGTGGTCTGCGAACTTCTAGTTTTGGGCAGCCGTGCACATCAAGGCTACCTTTATTTTAAAGAGATTAAAGAGATTATGTCAGTGGGAATACCATGAATGTGAAAAATGTGCTGGATAAGTGTCTTTCAAAGGCGGAGGGGAGCTTAGGCAGGGGAATGAAATGGGCTGCTTTAGAGAAAAGGTCGATGACCGTGAGGATAGTGGTATTACCTTCAGAGGACAGAGGCAGGCCTGTAACGAAGTCTACGGATATGTGTGACCAATGGCAGCTGGGCATGGGCAGAGCTTGCAGGAGTCCAGCGGGTGGTTGGTTGCCCATCTTATTCCTGGCACAAGTTGGAAAGGTTGATACAAAATCCTTGACATCTTGGTTCAGAGTAGGCCACCAGAAGTGAGTCTTGATGAGTGTGAGCATGTGGGAAATGCCAGGGTGACAGGAAAGCTTATGAGAGTGTAACCAAGTTAGTACCTTGGCCCTCATGACAGAGGGAACAAAAAGTCTCCCGGTGCGCCTAGTGCCAGAGTCTGGTTCATCCCTCTGTGCCTCGAAGACCTCCTTTTTGATGGGCCAGGTGAGGGCTCCTACGAGACAGACTGGAGGGATGATGCTGTCCACGTCCTCTGGACTATCCGGGGGAGAAAACTGTCGGGAGAGAGCATCAGGCTTGACATTTTAGAGCCGGGCCTGAAAGTCAGAACATAGTTGAATCGGTTGAAGAAGAGAGACCAGTGTGCCTGCCTGGGGGTTAGTCGTTTAACGTCTCTTAGGTACTTGAGGTTTTTGTGGTCAGTCCAAATCAGAAAAGGAGTAGCCATGCCCTCCAACCAATGGCACCACTCCTCCAGAGCCACATTGACTGCCAATAATTCATGATTACCTACATTATAATTTCTCTCAACTTGTGATACGCGCCGAGAAAAGAAGGCGCATGAATGAACTTTATTGTCATCGAGTGACTGTTGAGAGAGAACGGAACCCACACCAGAGTCCGAGGCGTCTACTTCCAGAATGAACTGGCATTTAGGATCGGGGTGACACAAGACTGGGGTAGAAGAAAAAAGTTTCTTGAGCTTACCAAATGCTGTGCCAGCCTCAGGAGTCCATCTGAAGGTATAGTTAGTTGAAGTAAGTTGCAAGAGGGGTGAGGCGATGTGACTTTAGTCCTTCATAAAGAAACATCCATGTAGAAATTGGCAAACCCAAGGAAGCGTTGGAGTTGTTTCCGAATCTCGGGAACTGGCCATTCCTCCACTGCCTTGGTCTTTTCATGGTCAGACCCGTAACAACCCCCCTCAAAAATGAATTTCAGAAAAGATACAGAGGACACATAAAATTCACATTTTTCCCCCTTGCCAAAAAGCTGATTTTCATAAAGGCTTTGAAGCACTGTGCGGACCTGTTTCACATCTTCCTTCTCGTCATGTAAATAAATAAGGATGTTGCCTAGGTATACAAAGACTAAGTTGCCGATAAAATCTCTGAGCACGTCGTTCACTAAGGCTTGGAATACCGCTGGGGCATTTGTCAGCCTGAACGGCATAACTAAATATTCAAAATGTCCGAGCAGGGTCCTGAAGGCGGTCTTCCACTCATCGCACTCTTTAATCTGCACCAAGTGGTATGCCTTACGGAGGTCGAGCTTGGAAAAGTTGGTAGCAGATTGGAGCTGCTCATCAATTGAGTCAATTAGAGGCAAGGGGTACTTTTTTTTAAGGTGATATTATTTAAGCCTCTGTAGTCTATGCAGGGACAAAGGGTTTTGTCTTTTTTGGACACAAAGAAAAACCCAGCCCCTACTGGAGAGGTGGATGAGTGGATGATACTAGAGTCGAGAGACTCCTCGATGGGACAACTGGCTAGGTAATGGTCAGGATTCCCACAATAAATGTAGGAGTTAGCATACCGGCGTCTTTACTTTTCTTCAGGTCATAAGTGGGTTTGTCCTATTTGCATAGGTTCAGGGAGAGTGATAAAACATCCTGCCAACAGTGCAGGGCAAGGAGGTGAACCAGAAAGTTTGCCCCCTTGGGATTTGTAGTTTTCAAAAGAGTTCTTTTAGGTGCGGGGCTCACCTGATGATGTTGCAAACCCGGACGTGGAGTGATGGTGGGTGTTGTAGTTCTTCTCTCTTCTCCGCTCCCAGAAACGCTCGTCAATAGCCACCGCCAGGTCGATTAGCTCGTAGAAACTTTTGGGTTGTCCCGTGCAGCAATTTGATCTTTAATGAGAATTTCTTAACTCACATGTTTCAGGCTGAAGGCATAAATACAAAATGAAGCACAATGCTCCAGCGTCGAGTCACACTTGACTGCAGCCTTAAGTAGAGGTGTTCCTCATCAAGTGGATGGTCGTCAGCTGGTGTGATTTGGCGGCCTTCTTGGAGCAGAGCTGCAGACAGTGAGACTCCTACAGATATAAGTTAACTGTGTGTCCCTTAAATCAAATGTCTGGATTATAATCTAAAAGAATGTTTTGAAGCCCTTTTCTGAGCTGTACCAAAAACTAACAATAATTTTGAAAAGAAAAGTCTTCTTTCACATGACATCAAAAAAATCCTCATCAAAATATGGAAACAATAATGTTCAGACATTTCAGAATCAGAATCAGAATGAACTTTATTGCCACTGCACCAAAGCGCAACAAAATTACATTTAAGTACAGCCCGTCTGAGAGAAACATAACAAACAGACATGGGGAGACAGAGGTGACTGAAGTCGATGGTCTCGGGAAGCGCAACCTTTTTTTTTTCAGATAAGGAAAAAGAAACACCAGGGGGAGTGTAGGTGTAAAAAAAATATAAAATCTTGCACTGTGTCCTAGACGGGACACAGTGTGAAAGTTGCAACAAAATGACTTCAGCACATAAAACAGCAACATACCGATGACATCATGATACATTTATGCATGAGGAGGCCGATGAGGGCAGTGAGTTGTCCATGGATTGCCAGAAAGTTCCATAGTCCTGATAAAGATGGCACAGTGTCTATCAGCCGACTCAACTCTGACACAGATCCACAGATGTCCTCGTGAGGGAGCAATGGGGGAGGGGGAAAAGCTTCTCATTCACATAAACAACCAGGAGAAGTTTGAGATAGCTGACCAATTCAAGGCTGAGTGGCCAAATTCAGATAACACAATTATTTTGGGTTAGGCAGCCTCTGCTTGAATTTCCATGTCGGCCTTCAATGTTCTGCTGGTATTTCTCAGTGGTGATTGCAAATAGCCAAATGTTGTGGTCTGACCGAGCTTGTAGCCTTCGCCAAGGTCAATTCCTTCCCGCCAGTGAGTCTCAGGAGCCGCAAGAGGCCTGCGATTCTCAGAAATCGCATCCAGCTTATGGCTCAGCTTGTACAGCATCTGAGTCTCAGAGCTTATCGCTCGGTACATTCCTTCATACAAGCAATGATGTCCAGTGGGGGGGCTATAACTCCAAAATAGACATACCTGTATACCAAAACATATATTACTGCATCAAACCGGTGTATTTACATGAATGAAAACAACAAAAGCAACATTATAATGTCATGTAATGTTCTACTTTTTGTACATAAATATATAATAAAATAAATAAACACACAGTGTCAGTCTGCAAGTGCTCGTGAAAAATTGGTAACTTTAAATTGCTCATGTAGAACTGCTTCCAGTGATGCTATAAAATCCACTGATCCTCTAAAAACACTCAGATTTTCTGAGCTTGCACTTTCTTCGTGACCACGCAGGGCAAGTTCAAATGCACCACAGAACTTGACACAGTCTATTATTTTTGATAGAATGTGCCTGTTTTTGTCAACCTCCTCATTGTGCTTACGGATCCCTACCCTGTAGCCTTCATCAAGCTGAGACGAAATGTTTATTTTCCCAAACATGGTGAGCCATAGTGCATTTTACATGTGGATCCCAGATTGTTCATGCTTCTTTGCCTTTTCTAAAAAAAAATGCTTTAAATCAGTCATACCTGCCTTAATCCATGCTGAGTCAGATCTTAATGTTTGAAAAAGGAGGCAGGGAAAGCAGAATAAAGCTTTTGTTTCCACCTCTTCTTAACACCAATAAAGAATGATTCTATTGATGGTAAGAAGTTGGTTTTAATATGGGATGTAGAAGCTTACAGTTGTATTGTTACAGCACCACCTTGTTGCCAATACTACGCTACCATCAAACTAAAATACAACATAAACTTCAATGAGATAGTACAATTAATAAAATAAAGACATAAATGATATATATAACATGTTAAACATACCTCGCTGGCTGACCCTTATTTAGAGGTAGAAATTAAGTCCTTACAACATATTTTAAGCCTTCATTAAACTCTTTTAACTCAATTTGGCCTTGTCTGCTGCGTTATGCTGCTCATGCTTCCCCTTTTTGTGCCCCATCGGAACCAACATCCTGCATAGTGGTTCCTACCTAGAACTTTTATAAATAAATGTCCTACTGACGCGAGAAATATGCATAATGCAAAATAAAATATATGAACTAAGATTATGGCAGTAAAAAATGCATTAGCCTCACTGCATGCTCCTGTCAATCAAGCAAACTTTATGACAGACGGCTGTGACGTCAGCCCTGCAGAGAGAGTCCCACCCTCCCACCGCTGGAGGGTGGTGAATGATATGCAAATCAAGCTGCATTCAGCTCTGGGCGCTGGAGAGGTGCGCCCCAGAATGGTCTTACCTCTTGTATTGAAGAGGAGCTACTGTGCATGCACAACTTTAAAAAATGGTCTGTGGGCAAAGGTTTTTGCACCCCAGGGCAGAAATAGGTCACCAATCAATTGAAGAACAAAACAACTTTACTTGTCATTAAATATAAAATATTTGTTTTACACAACTAAAAATATATACATATATTTCGAAATATTTTTTTTTCATTATTTCATTTTTATTTACGTTTTTTATGTCTTATTCAAGGTAATGTGGTGAGTGGTGGGGTGGCGCCCTGGCGCCCATTATTGACCAGCCACCACTGCATAAGGCAGGCAGCCTTACAATTGCTAGAACCACTGCCGACATCTTCCGAATTTGTTGATATGTCATATACCTACCAACACCAAAAAGCAGAAATCCAGTTATCATAAATCCAGTTATGTATGCATCTTCTACATCCTCAGTGGACAATACAGACAAACACACCATCTTCCCCTGGCCCCAGGAATCCATAGTGTATCCAGCTGCGCGTGTCCCTTTAGGGCAGAGGTTACTGTGGACCTCGGTCCAGATCCGGACAGAGAAATGGTTCTTTCCAGACCCGTACCCAATAAATTCAGGAAAATATATACTTTTTCATGGTAAGTGCAGAGCCAAGCAGAAACATGGGAGGTGCATTTTGCAGGTTCACTCTACTTCAGGTGTTATAATAATAGTGTCACTCAGTTAATGAGCCAATCAAATCTTTCGTTTTCCCTGCACGGCCGGTGCAGCGGGCTCTCACCAGAGAAGAGTTGAGAAGGAGGCAAAAGAAAGAGACATCATGTTGTGCTCCAAAATAAGGAAAGTTGATGCTGAAAAGATGTTTTAAAGATAAATGGACAGAGAAATGTATGTTCATTCTTCCAGTAGGCAGTTCAAAACCTGTTTGCCTCATATGCTCTGAAACGGTCGCATTAATTAAAAGTGGCAACGTGAAGCACTCTTCACTACATGTCTTTGGAGCAACGTTATCTGTTGAAGTCTGAGCAGAGAGCAGTAAATTAACCCAACTGCAAGCCCAGTAGGACAGATCCACCCTACATCACAAATACTTTTACAGCCCAGCAGTGTACTGAATATTCAGCTCAAACTCAAGAAATTGTGGATTTTGGGGCAACATAAAACATTAAAAAAAAAACATTTAGTGACGGGAGAGTCCTGAAGGAGTGTTTAAATGCTGTTGCTGAGACATTTGATGGAAAACAAAAAGATGAGATGTGTGAAAAAAAATCAAACAAATCCTGATGTCAGCTTCAACAGCAAGCAGAAAATCAGAAATATTAGCATATGATGTCCTGGCACAGCTGGATGCAGCTGTTTAGAGTCAATGATGAGTCCAGATGTTACTGATGAAGCTCAGCTACATGAGAATGACTCTGATTTCATTCTAACCAAGATTTAATTTACTGGCAGGACAATCCCATGTCCATTTCCCTCATTAAGTCAAGTAAAATAAATAATTGAAAAAAGGGTGTTAAATAAATTGAAAATGAGTTCTCAATGAGACTATCTGTATAAATAAAGGGTAAAAAAAAAAAAGGTGTTAAATGCTCTGTTTTCTGTTTTTTCCTAAAAGAGCCATTTTTATTTATTATTTTCTGAAGATGCTGATGTGTTTTACTTGAAAACTTTAATTTTTATAGGTTGGTGCCTCTTTAAGCAAAAAAAAAAAAAGGGGAGAAAAATGTTTACTTGCTCCTTTTTACACTTTATACTAAAATAGAGACTTTTTAATTGTTTTCTCAAGATGTTAACATTTTTACTTCAAATGTAAGTCTTCAACTCTTTAGGCTTGGACCTCTTCAGTTTAAGAAAAAAAGTCTTATTAGGCTCTGTTTGCACATTTAAGATGTATTTTATTCTGAGCTTTTTGTCTTAATCTGAAATAAAGGCCTTAAATTTATTTGCCTGGGACTACTTTTAAAAAGGCCCTGTGATGGACTTGCGACCTGTCCAGGGTGTACCCCGCCCCTCGCACAGTGATTGCTGGACATGGGCACCAGCGACCCCCGTGACCCAAAATGGAATAAACGGGTAAAGAAAATGGATGGATGGATGGATACTTTTAAATATGGTAAAAGAGCTAGTTGTTTACTATAGTATGGTTTGTTAACAGTGAAAATGTGAATACGGGTAGGCAAGACCATAAGACAAAAGTTGGACTTTTGTTCGGACCTTTTACTAGGAGGAAATTTTAGTAACTGGACCTCAGCGAGTTTTAATTTAATACCCCTGCTTCAGGGCATGAGGGCTCCATCGCCCTGTCTTCTCGTCGAGAAGATTTCATCAATTGCATTGAGAGACGAGCCGTAGAGAGATAACCAATTCCAGCGGTTATCCAAGACACAGGGAGTGGTGGTGCATGAAGGAAAAAAGAAAGTGCAGTTTTGCATTTCAGTCAGTTTGCACATGAAGCTGCAGCCCACGCTACTCGACCCAAGAATGAGCAGCTGATTATGGATGGGTGTGAACACAAAGTAACTTCCAAGCAGTGGACCTCCTCATCAAAGATATTGTGAATTTTTTTTGTTTTGGTTTTTGTATTGACTTCACATTTTCATAGAAAAAAATAAAACTAGCCCCATAGACACTTTAATTACAGCCAGCTGTTTTCTTGCACTTCCTGTCCTCACACATTTGACACTCATCTCTCTTCGTATCACCCGCCTACTGTGTGCATGTTGCACAAAGAGAGCAGTAAACATGTCGCTGAATATTTATAACATGTTACAAAAGAAAGAAAAAAAATACGGGATGCGCTTTCTAAAGCTGCAATCTGCAAACAAACAGCGCTGCTTTACACCAGGAGAAAACGGTAGAACATCCATCTGGGAGGAGGAGAGGAGTGGACAAACACAATCTGCTTGAGAATGTTAATAATCTCCCAACCATGAAAGAGAAACTTTCCCCTTTGTCAGCCGCATTTTACATGCATGTGTTGCAAATGTGCATGCTGTAGATGAATCCTAACAGTGCTCTCAGTTCAACTCATTAGTTTCTAAATCATGTTACAGAACAGAAAACTGGAATGAATACATTTCAATGGGAAGAAGAATTTTTTATTTTTTTTTGCTCGTCAGTGAATTGAATGCCTTTCGCGACGTCCTTTATTTCCAATCAGAGAGCACAAAACACCACATCCTTGGACAAATCTATCCTGGCAGGATGCCCCTTTGTTCTAGATTTTCCCTAATAGTGATGATCGTTAGACACTTCAGCCCCCCCTCAGAGAATCCCCTCATTATGGTCAGCTATGGGGATGATGGACATTGGAGGATGAAGAAGGAAGAATGGGCCTGTCTTGTGCTGTGAACTGAAAAGTTAATGATAGAATAAGGGCCGTGTGGCTTCGGTTCCAGAATATGTTCAACAATTAATCAGATTTCACTGCGTGAGGGGATGCCAGTTTTTGTACTCATTTCCTGGAAAATGACAGCTGGAGCTGAAAAACTTGTGTGTTGCAGCACTGTGGGGGCGTGACTTTGAAATGTATGCATAACAACAGCATCACAACAAGAGAGTGTGATGCTGTCAACTTTCTGAATCAGCATCGTCTAAACAGTTTCTGTCATGGGAATGCTGCGTGGACTCTTTATAGCTTTTCAGTTTGTTTCCATTTATTCTGCTCTCCTCTCACACCTGGTTTGTGTTTGCCTTTAGCTATAGAGGCCCAGATTATACTTATTTCCTGCAAGG